GTTACCTCATGTATTATCAATTGTATCATCCCACACTTGCCTTACTACCTCACGGAGTTCACAGTTTATCAATGTCCTTTCACGGATCTCTCACAGTAAGTCACAGTCCCCTCACAGAAAACCTCACAGCAATTCACAGGCTACTCGGTTGTCATATGTTGAAACTATACTCCTTGTGTATTATTATCGTGCTCATGTTGTAGTTGTTAGACATTATAATAAAAGTTTAATTACCTAAGTTTGAGGTGCACTCGCTGTGCGTAAGTCCCGCGTGGCAGCCAATCAATCACTCCACACACCGCACACACAACTGACTCACCGACCATACAATTGGTGTGAGGTCTGGGAATTAGCGTTAAACTTTGACGAATGCTCAGTGCTTCATTTTGGAGGTGGAAATACTACCTCGTATCACATCAAAGGCTCTATATTGAAGAGTTGTAATACTGTTAGAGATTTGGGTGTCTTGATTGATACAAATCTTAACTTCACTGAGCATATCAATACGTTAGTTAAAAAAGCTTATTCTTCACTTTTTCTGCTTTTCCGCAATACTAATGCTAGTTCCCCGAAGATACTTATACCGCTTTATAAAGCATTAGTTCTTCCTCATTTAGAATACTGTTCTCAGGTCTGGTCCCCCTTTCGTAAGAAGGATATTCGCAGAATTGAAAAGGTTCAACAGCTTTTTACATGGCTGTTGTATAGACGTTTATCGCCCGGAACCACCGCTCCCGATTACCAGACCCGGCTTGAGAGGTTTCATATGAAATTAACAAACCGTCGTGCTTTTCTTGGATCTTGTATTCTGTTTTCAAGTTCCGAGAAGAGAGAACAAGCTAAAAACCAGTAAATACTGGATTTTTGTTCCTACAAGCGAAAGGTCAGGCTCTTTCAACCTGCAGTATCCAAGAATCCGGCGCAGGAGATACTTGTTGATGTTCAACAACGTGTTCTACAGGTCGGCTGGGTGGCTTTCGCACCTCCCGGTTGAGACCACTAGTGCAGAGAGTAGTCATGTTTTCAGGAGTAGACTGAGAAGGCTTGACTTGTCAAGTATCGCTAACACTGATTAGTGTTGCACGACAGGGCGAGCCTTCTGCATTAGACCTTTTGGGCTTCCATTGGGTGCTTTGGACGTGCTATGATGGCGGATGGAATCGCTTTGGGCTTTGTTTTCTATCAGCTTTCTTCTCCATTTTACCTCTAAAACCTGTCTTTTCAGGTGCTCGTTGATCTTGCATTGACTTGCGGGTTCAGTTATGGCTGTAAATTATTTCTTTGACGCCTCTCGTGTATCTCCTCACGTTGCGTCAAACTTGTATTTTCGGTGTACTCGTTGTGTTCTAGTTACTAACACAGTTTCATCAGCATCTTAGTCCGAGTCTTTTTCGCTCAGCTATCTAGTATTCAATCGTACAGCTTGCTATGTCAACAAATGGATTGAATGTGAATTGTTTCACCTTTGGGGTCATTGGGCCTCCCCAGCATTCCGGCTAGGTTGGGTTATGGTTATTATACTTATTATACCTGAGCCAGTAGACCTGCCTTATAAGCTGCCGGACTGCTTTTAAGAGTAACTAAAGATCGTTCCGCTGGCAACGAGGGGGCATGCGTCCCATCTTCATGGATTCGAAGTTTTGGAGTTATATATCTCAGTGCCTACATCTGCATACTTATCTATTAGCCTATCAACATATTCAGTGCAAGCTGTTTCATCTTCTCACATTAGTCTGATTAGGATCAGACTCGGACTGACATGATGATGTCCGCATTTGTTTACATGTCTTGTTCGTTTCCGCTGTATTACTAACTTCTTGATGTGTCTTTTTCTTATGGAACGCCTTGAGCGTACAAATGAAATGAAATAAAATAAATGTTTAGGAGCTGTAATATCTGGGGTAGTGTATTTGCAAGAAGAACAGCGCAGATGATTCGGAAGTTACCAAATGTCAGAAGTTTCCTTGAGAGCATGATCTTGCTTCTACTACTAGTTACATTGCGCCAAAGGTCGCTGAGAGAATGCACGCCGACAGTTACCAATGTATCTGCCCCAAGTTACTTGCTAGCAACCATAGGGCCTGCAGCATGGGGCAAGGAGGAAGAAAACCAAAAGATGCTCAAAGCGAAACCACCAGTCAGTCGTACTGGACAGGCCGGAGCATACGAACTCCATTCCTATCAATTCACGCGCCCTTCGAAGCATGGAGCCACGCACAGCAACAGCGTTCAGAGACAAGCCCTCAAGCGCCCCAAAGATAGCACAGTGGATGAAACTCAGAGATTTACAAAACAAGTGGAACGGCGAACCATTACCAGTAAGAAGACACCAACGGTTTTGGCGCGTGAGCAAACTCTTGGAGAAACTACGGAAAACATGGTACACAGCACACAGTTTGGAAGCGAAGTAGCACGGCGAAAAGGAGGATGGAGTCACGTTACTCTTTGCGCACCGTGGCAGGGTGCGTTTTACGAGAGGATTGCGCGCTGCATCAGGAAAACGCTATACTACACGCTCGGAGTGCTCGCCATGGCTTTCGATGGTTTCAAGACGATGCTCACAGACATGGAAATGGAGTCTGACTCCCGATGGCGCTCACGACAGCAGCAGAGAATCCGATACAGCACAGGAGGATTGAAGAAGTCGCCGAACGAAGGCAATATCGCGCTCTCCAGGGATGCGGCACGACCTATATCGACCCACAGGAGGAAGACCACTCCCGCAGTCTAGATAGACGAATCACCACAGAAAGCCACGAGGAAAGCTGTTATGGCAGATCCTGATGGACGCGGACTGCGACGACGGTCGACTCAAATTGCGCCACAGGAGACTGACATAAAGAAACATTCACGGCGGATAGGCAAGACAAAGCAACACGAGGTAACGCCAACCAAGGAAAGAATCAGCCAAAAAGAAGCAGAGCTACGAGCAGCGGCACGGAAGTCAAAGTCAACGACTACATCGACGACCACTTGACCATCAACGGTGTTGCTCCACTCGTCTGCTGAGGCCGGAGTATACGAACTCCCCAAGTTCGTATTGTACTTTGCGCCCGAAGAATTCCGCATTACTAACAACGACAGAAGCGCGAAGTTTCTCACAGGCTCGTATCTATTGTTTTGTTAGCAGTCAGCTTATCTGTGATATTCTCATGCTTACTGGTGTTTTGTTTATATTCGCTTACATATATAATTGGCTGGCATAGTTTAGCGAGCGCTGCTTATAATTTTACGGTTTGTATCTCATCTTTCAATTGTTTCCTTGTTTTTCTCACAGTTGCCCTTGTCACTACCTCATTGTTCACGGATACGAAGCCCTTTCACAGATCCCTCACAGCTATTCACAGGCTCTTTGGATCACGTATATTCAACATATATCAGTGTTTCAGTATCGTACCCGTTTTGTAGTTGTTAGTCGTATTTTTGTAATAAAGTTTAATTACCCAAGTTTGAGGTGTACTCGCTGTGCGTAAGTCCCGCGTGGCAGCAATCGATCACAGTCCGCACACAGCAACACACACAACTGACTACCGACCGTACAAGTGGTGCATCGGTCGAATTGAGGTACGATTTGTTGCTAACGAGTAACGCTTCCAACTAATAAGCCGCACGTTACTCACCTCACAGTTAGCACAGTTTGCACAGCGAGTCACGGAGAAATTCGCCTCACAGCTATCTCACAGATCTCACAGATCCCTCACAGTCAAAATCACAGTTTCCGCATAGCCATCACAGTATCTTACATCACTAACTCAACTAACAATGAGCAGTACTGTAAGATCACTAAAAGGACTTGTTACTAGAAGGAACGACGCAGCGGTAAACTGGCTACAGGACTCCACCCAAGCGCTCGCAGACATACAAGCCAAGGAAAGCGCAAGGAGGATAAAAACCTGTGAGAGATACATCGAGCTTCTCGAGACGTCACTGACAAAGCTAACTAAGGCTTTTGATGAAGCTCCAGAGACCACAGAAGAACAGGAGGATCACCTGGATAAGTACATAGAGAAAACCCAGGGAACCAAATGAAACTACACGAGCACAGGACACGGCTAGAAGAAGCCCAGGAGGAGGATATCGGGACTGACACAGACGGCACCACTAGCCAAGCAGCAGTCAATAGACTCCCGATCATCCCTATCCCCACATTCACAGGAAAAAAGTGGGAATGGGACAACTTCTGGGCTCTATACAAGGCCAATGTCCACGACCAAAATCTAACACAGCTGCAAAAGTTCAATTATTTGCTGGCATCTTTGAGTGGGGAAGCGAAACAATCAGTTTCACGGTTCTTCGTTTCAGCAAATAATTACGAGAAGGCCATCCAACACCTTGTCAAGAGGTACGGCAATAAAGATGGCATAGTCTTGGAATTAAACAAAAGCCTACACAACTGTGTAGCAAAGGGACGAACTACGACGGGACAACGACAGTTGTGGGACAAATTGTCAACAATTGCAGCACAGTCAGAGGAGCATGAGCAGCAGCTCAACGATCAATTGACAGTACAAATTTTTGTGCAAAAATTCCACGCACGCATAAGAAAGGCTGCTATGGAAAAACGAATACGCCATAAAGAGAAGCACGGGTCCGAGTGGACTCTGAATCAATGGCTGAATGCCATTGACAACGTTATCTCACAGGAAGAACAGCTTAATCACATGCTGTCGTTCGAAAGGCAATTCCGAAGCTATTCGCTGCACAGTGGAACAACAGTGAGAGCCGATCCAAAAGAAACAAAAGTAACTTGGAAGGCTAAAGATTCTTGCGAATGCTGTGGAACTAGGGGGCACACATGGACAACCTGCCCAAAAATATCTACAGCAATACAAAAAAGAAGATTTTTCATGGAAGCCAACAGATGTTTCAACTGTGGATCTAAGAATCACAGAATAGCGTCATGCTGGAGAGGCAACTGCAGAAAATGTCGCAAAAACCACCACAAAACCATCTCCCTGGGTAATAAGCCACGGAATTCAGAAGCACCTAATAGCAGGCTTATGAATGGGCAGAAAAAGCGAGCTAGTACAGCCGATTCACTATCATCGTCCAACTCAAGCACTTTTGAACTCTCTACTAATGAAGCACAAGTGACAAAAACGTCAGCCGTGATGGCTACTGCACCCACACAACAAAAGAGGTTTTCGTCGTCTAGCACAGAATTCGACTCGAACACGGATGCACCGGTCACTATCGCTTTGGCGAGAGCAACAGTGAAGCCTTCTGATGCGCAGTCAAGAAGCACATCTGGCTTATCAAGCGTTTCAAGGACTAATGACGATGATTCTACAAAGGATGAAGTAATAACTGTGCACCGTTTATGGGAAGATTTTCTGGACTTCAAGAAGAAGGTCGAGCGACATCACCAAGACGTGCAAGAATGGATGCAGAGCATGAAGCGCGCAACCTTTACAACACAGGAAAGAACAAACACTAGCAGTAACCGAGAAATGATCCACACTCAACAAAAGAAAAGTCCACAAGAAACTTCTCACAAGAAACCGCAATCCTCGGAAAAGGCTACGCAGCCGAAGAATGAGAGGAGAAGACGACATTTTAAGGATCACAGACATCTGAGGAAGTCCTTTGCGACATCGCAAAAAAAGTCAAGCACAGCAACGAGCCTGCAAAAGGAGAGCGAAAGCGAAGAATGGCGAGACGTCGCATCGGAATCCAAAGGTGCACAGAAGGGAAAAGAGCGCAAGCGGATTACAGTGAATGGTCAAAGAAGACAAGTACCACCACGGGGCAAAGAAGAACTAAGCCAGAAGAGGCTCAAAAAACGAACAGTCAATCGCACTGGACAGGCCGGAGCATACGAACTCCATTCGTATCAATCTACGCGCCCTTCGGAACATGGAGGAAAGCACAACAAAGGGGATAAGAGCTCCAGGCACAGAGAGGAGAACAAGCAGACACACAAACGGAACCCCAAGAACAGCACAATAGATAAAACGAGGACATCCTCGGCATGGATAGATGAAATTTGGCTCAATACCCGTGGCAACGCACCAAAGGTTTTGTCAAGTGAGCAGATCGCCAAGGACGCCACAGAAAACACGGCATGTAGCACAGAATTCGACAGCGGAATAGCACGACGAGGAAGAAGGTGGAGACTTTTTACCCCTTGCGCACCGTGGCAGGGTGCGTTTTACGAGAGTAGTATGCGCTGCATCAGGAAATCGTTGTTCGAAACGCTCGAAGCGCTTGCCATGGCTTTCGATAGACTCAGGACGACGCTCACAGACATGGAAGCAGAGTCCAACTCCCGATGGCGGTTACGGCAGCAGCAGAAAATCCGAAAACGATACGGCACAGGAGGACTGAGGAGGTCGAAGGTATCGTACTGCCCAGGGACGCGGCACGACCTATATCAGCCCACAGTAGGAAGACCAATCCCACAGTCCAGATAGACGAATCACCACAGAAAGCCACAAGAGAAGCTGTTATGGCACATCCTGATGGACCCGGACTGCGACGACGGTCGACTCAAACTGCGCCACTGAAGATTGACAATGGAGAAGCATTCATAGCTGACAAGCAAGACAAAACACCCTGGTGATGATTGGTGTTGCATAGGGTCAAAACACAAAGACCCTATGAAACACCAATCAAGGAAAGAAGGAGCAACGACACGGAAGTCAAAATCAACGACTACCACGACGACCACTTCACCATCAACAGTGTTGCTCCACTCGTCTGCTGAGGCCGGAGTATACGAACTTCCCGTTCGTATCGTACTTTGCGCTCAAGGAATTTGATGTGATTTACGGCGATCAAGGCTGTGCGTTTTCTCACAGGCAAAGTACTTTGATGGCTTATCAATGATTTTCTCATGCTTGCTTTCATTATGTTTATATTCGCTCATGTATATAAGTGGCTAACACAGTTTAGCTGGCATTGGTTATGTTTATACCAGTGCGTCACCTCTGCTTCGCAGAGGCTCGCACTGGCCCTACTTTCTGTATGCTTTACTCATTCCCGCATAATGATGGCATTGGAACTCACCGAGCAATGCCGACTATCACGGACAAAATGTAAACAATTGCTCATTCCGAAAGCTTTTTTATGTGAAATCGGTGATTTCGCGTGGATGAGACTTTTTGCAGGAAAACAAATGCAAATTTTCATAGGTTTTTGATTTTTCCATGGTCTTTACAGTTGATATAAGAACAGCAGTCACCGTGAGCTACATCTCTGTGCAAAAATCTAGTCAAATGGTCTGGTAAAACCTTGTCAAATTGACCATTCACGCAACCAATACTTTTTGGCGCCGTTTTTGTAAAGTAATGGACTTTTGATCACTTTTTTGAGCCTAAGTTCATGGCTTGCACATTTACTTGGCAAAAACATCTACGACTCTGAAAAAAGTGGAATTACGGACCCAATTTTGCGGCCCAAATGCAAAGTGGATCCGTTTGACACGCAGTTTCTGAGGGATCCACTTAACGAATCTGCTCATGCTTTTGCATTTTGGACTTTAATGCGGGTAACATGCGCTCTACAAAATTTGAGCCCAGGAGGTTGGCTGGAACACGCTCTACGAATTTCGTAACAGACACACTCTCACACACACACACAGACAGACACACAAAGTCACGTAAACATCCTTAGCCCGTTATTATAAGTTATGATGTTCTACATCTCATCGATTAATTGTTGCTTTATTGTTTCTTATTTTGGTTACCTCATGTATTATCAATTGTATCATCCCACACTTGCCTTACTACCTCACGGAGTTCACAGTTTATCAATGTCCTTTCACGGATCTCTCACAGTAAGTCACAGTCCCCTCACAGAAAACCTCACAGCAATTCACAGGCTACTCGGTTGTCATATGTTGAAACTATACTCCTTGTGTATTATTATCGTGCTCATGTTGTAGTTGTTAGACATTATAATAAAAGTTTAATTACCTAAGTTTGAGGTGCACTCGCTGTGCGTAAGTCCCGCGTAGCAGCCAATCAATCACTCCACACACCGCACACACAACTGACTCACCGACCATACAATTGGTGTGAGGTCTGGGAATTAGCTAAACTTTGACGAATGCTCAGTGCTTCATTTTGGAGGTGGAAATACTACCTCGTATCACATCAAAGGCTCTATATTGAAGAGTTGTAATACTGTTAGAGATTTGGGTGTCTTGATTGATACAAATCTTAACTTCACTGAGCATATCAATACGTTAGTTAAAAAAGCTTATTCTTCACTTTTTCTGCTTTTCCGCAATACTAATGCTAGTTCCCCGAAGATACTTATACCGCTTTATAAAGCATTAGTTCTTCCTCATTTAGAATACTGTTCTCAGGTCTGGTCCCCCTTTCGTAAGAAGGATATTCGCAGAATTGAAAAGGTTCAACAGCTTTTCACATGGCTGTTGTATAGACGTTTATCGCCCGGAACCACCGCTCCCGATTACCAGACCCGGCTTGAGAGGTTTCATATGAAGTTAACAAACCGTCGTGCTTTTCTTGGATCTTGTATTCTGTTTTCAAGTTCCGAGAAGAGAGAACAAGCTAAAAACCAGTAAATACTGGATTTTTGTTCCTACAAGCGAAAGGTCAGGCTCTTTCAACCTGCAGTATCCAAGAATCCGGCGCAGGAGATACTTCTTGATGTTCAACAACGTGTTCTACAGGTCGGCTGGGTGGCTTTCGCACCTCCCGGTTGAGACCACTAGTGCAGAGAGTAGTCATGTTTTCAGGAGTAGACTGAGAAGGCTTGACTTGTCAAGTATCGCTAACACTGATTAGTGTTGCACGACAGGGCGAGCCTTCTGCATTAGACCTTTTGGGCTTCCATTGGGTGCTTTGGACGTGCTATGATGGCGGATGGAATCGCTTTGGGCTTTGTTTTCTATCAGCTTTCTTCTCCATTTTACCTCTAAAACCTGTCTTTTCAGGTGCTCGTTGATCTTGCATTGACTTGCGGGTTCAGTTATGGCTGTAAATTATTTCTTTGACGCCTCTCGTGTATCTCCTCACGTTGCGTCAAACTTGTATTTTCGGTGTACTCGTTGTGTTCTAGTTACTAACACAGTTTCATCAGCATCTTAGTCCGAGTCTTTTTCGCTCAGCTATCTAGTATTCAATCGTACAGCTTGCTATGTCAACAAATGGATTGAATGTGAATTGTTTCACCTTTGGGGTCATTGGGCCTCCCCAGCATTCCGGCTAGGTTGGGTTATGGTTATTATACTTATTATACCTGAGCCAGTAGACCTGCCTTATAAGCTGCCGTATTGCTTTTGAGAGTAACTAAAGATCGTTCCGCTGGCAACGAGGGGGCATGCGTCCCATCTTCATGGATTCGAAGTTTTGGAGTTATATATCTCAGTGCCTACATCTGCATACTTATCTATTAGCCTATCAACATATTCAGTGCAAGCTGTTTCATCTTCTCACATTAGTCTGATTAGGATCAGACTCGGACTGACATGATGATGTCCGCATTTGTTTACATGTCTTGTTCGTTTCCGCTGTATTACTAACTTCTTGATGTGTCTTTTTCTTATGGAACGCCTTGAGCGTACAAATGAAATGAAATAAAATAAATGTTTAGGAGCTGTAATATCTGGGGTAGTGTATTTGCAAGAAGAACAGCGCAGATGATTCGGAAGTTACCAAAGGTCAGAAGTTTCCTTGAGAGCATGATCTTGCTTCTACTACTAGTTACATTGCGCCAAAGGTCGCTGAGAGAATGCACGCCGACAGTTATCAATGTATCTGCCCCAAGTTACTTGCTAGCAACCATGGGGCCGCTACTGTAGCAGGACAATTTGCTAATGCTAAGAATTCCTTGCTTCCAAGGAATTCTTTTTATAAAAACCTGCTAAATCCATTTTAAAGGCTCCTACTTCGCGAAAATTATACTTCCGCTCCCAAAGGCAAATAAGTAAGGAGCATGATCGCAAAGGAAGGACAGACCCATGCGCTTCATGCGGTTAGGACATCTTTGCTGCGATTTCTTAACCTCATAGTAAATCTTGTTTGAAATTCACTTTTGGCCGTTCCTACATCGCGGAAATTGTACTTATGATCCTAAAAGCATAAAAAGCAAAGGGAGCTTTGTCTCGAGGGCAGGAAAGACCTAGTGAGTCCATGTAGCAGAACATTTCTGCTAAGAATTCTAGCTTTAAAACTAATTCACATTTGAAGAAAACTTGCTTACTTTTGACCGCTTCCACTTTTTGTACTTCAGTTTCTAAAAGCAAAAAAAACAAAGGAGGCTTGGTCCCAAAAGAAGACTTGCTGATCATTCGTTTTTGGCTGCTTCTACTTTGTGAAAATCCTACTTTTGCCAATAAAAACAACATTGCAGAAGGAGCTTGTCTCAAGGGAAGAAAAGACTCAATGAGTTCATGCCGCAGGACATTTTTGATACGATTCTCTAGGTTTCAGCGCTGAATCTCACAAGAACTTGCTTGAAATCCACTTTGGCCGCTTCTACTTCGCGAAAATCGTACTTCTGCTCCTAAAGCAGAAAAAGTGAGGGGGCTCGGTCTTGGGTGAAGGGAGGCCCAGGGGCTTTATAAATTTGTTTGGAAAGCCTTGAGCGAGTTTTGGTCTTGCTTCAAAAAAATGACCATATTTTGCGAGACATTATAAGGAGAGTATGATATGTGCATGACCGCGAAGGTCGGTGTGTTTGCGCCGTTGCACAGTTCCCGAGAGTCAGCCTGTCGGTTGAATCAGCTTTCCTGCATAGATGACTGCTGAGGTGATTCCCATGTTTAAGGAGCTGTAGTATTTGGGGTAGGGTATTCGCAAGAAGAACAGCGTAGATGATTTGGAAATTGCTTATTGTCAAAAGTTTCCATGAAAGCATGATTTTGCTTCTACTACTATTTACATTGCGCCAAAGGTCGTTGAGAAATTGGGACCTTAGTTCCTTGCTATTCTTAGTTGCACGCAAGCAGTTATTTAATAGCCACTTTATTAAATAGCCCAGCCCACTTTAATGTACAGGGTGTCCCAAAAAAATGTGAACACTGTTTGATCGTTAATAACTCCGTTGCTTTCACGTCTTTCGCCGAGCTTGAGGCATCATTATGTGGAGCGAGGTTCAACTTAGATTTGTAGTATGGAGCGAATCACCGATCGCTGTTCGTTACTGTAGGATTATGGTATGAACTTCTAGCATGTGGATCTACTGTGAAATATGCCATTTGACAAAAGTTTTTTCAAAAAATCTGAAAAATCGTGTACTAGGGTTTTCGTGCACGCTGATTCCATTAAACTACTTTTTACGGGTGTTTTTAGCTTTTTTGACGGTGTAGTCACATTTCTGACAGATGCTGGAAATTCAGTTATTACGGTTTACCTAGGATAACCTTGGAAAGAAGCATCACAGTAAAGTGGGAATTTCATATTCGAAATCAGCGTCCTCCATTACCATGGTATAAAAGTTTTTGGCTTATTTGGCTTTGTTCCGAGGCAGAATATGGCCTCCAATGGCCCAAAATCCTTGTCGAAATTTCTACCGTAATCCTACAGTAACGAAAAGAGATCGGTAATTCAATCCATGTTATAAATCTAAGTTGAACCTCGCTCTATAGAATGGTCACTCAAGCTCGGCGAAAGACATGAAAGCAAGGGAGTTATTAACAATCAAACAGTGTTCACATTTTTTGGGACACCCTGTATTAATTGGAGACCGCCAGGGTAGACTTTGTGGTGAAAAGTCTCCTCCCCCCGGGCATAAGTCGTAGGAGACTCCAAACCCCCATATTTTATGTATCATCTGAAAGCTCTTGATGAGAGGAATCTAAGCTATGAAGTAGGAACATGATTTATGCAATTCTGAAGAAGTTATGAACTGTTGAAATTCAAAAGCGCTTTTTTACCTGCTTCTTCAAGACTCTGGATCTCGGCGCTCTTTCAATGGATCAGTACGGCTAAGATACGTTCTGATAAGGCCTTAAAACCTTACTCTACAAAACTTATGAATTTGCAACATCAAACACTCTCACTTTCAAGATTTGTATGAGTTTAACTGTCAGCTGTCATTAAACAAGCTAAAATGGCCTAACTTTTCAAAATTCTGTCTCTCGGCGACCACTTCTCAAATCGAACTTATTCTTTCATTATCTGACAGAACACCATTTACGCTTCAAAAACCATGAAGTCGCATTTGCTGACATCTTCAAAAGCAAGATTTATTAAAGTGGATTCGCATAATTTATCGTTATTCCATAATTCAAAATTCTGGTTCTCGGCGGTTATTGCTTGGATCTGCCTACTTTCTTCGCAGTACTTTATGACATCTTAATAAAATCTGTACAGTCCCGCTAACTTTTACTTCTATACACTTACTAAACACGTTTATTTCAAATATATATGCCGCCGTATACATAAAAATTTGCTTTCAATAATCTTTTTTGCGTTTGTTTTGCTTATTTTCCGCGCACTGGCGGCAACGACCTGAAGGATGGGCTCAGTCGACCTTAACCGACCCTCCCCCCCTCCGTCGACGTTTTTGGGAGGTGAGTGTCCGGCACTATCACTTTCACTTTTGGCCGGCCAGTGGTAGCTGAGACCACCCTCACTTTTGGTAGGCCCGGCTCCCCCCATCGCACCTCTGATCAGCATGCTCGATTACCCCACTGTGCCAAATCCCAGCCCCGCAGCTCAAATTTTGCAAATCGATAAAATCGATAAAAGTAGTGGATAATTCTAAAAACTAATATTGTATTCGTAATCAGCATGCTCGATCACGCCCCTGTGCCCAATCCCAGCCCCGTAGGTGAACTCTGCAAAAAAAATCGATAAAAATCGATATCGATCAATGACGATAAGTAGCTTATGACACCCGCCCCGGCCACGAAGTGTATGTGTGCCAAGTTTGGTTCGGATCGGTTGATGAAAATTTCTAATCGAAAAATACGTACAGACCAGTGGCGTACCGGGGGGGGGGGGGCGCACGCCCCCCCCCCGAGAATGGGTCGCCAAGTTTTTGAAAGTTACTTATAAGGGTTATAAAAATGTGCAAATGACTTGTTTATACTTGTAAATAATTAAAATAATTTTTAAAAATTTTTAAAAATTCAAATTAGCCTTGTAAAAAAAATTTTTTCGGGGGCGTGGCTGACGCCACGCCCCCTTTTTCCAGATTTTAGGGGTTGGGGGCCCGCAAAAATTTTGAAAAGCACCCCTAAAATTTTTTCGGAGTGCGTGGCTAACGCCACGCACCTTTATTTGAAAAATTTTTTTGTCGCCCCCCCCCCCCCGAGCGGAAATCCTGGGTACGCCACTGGTACAGACACACCACACAGACACACAGACATACAAATAGACATTCAGCTTCATATGTATAAGATTGAGAAAAAACTTTGAGGAATCGACTAATTTCACGTTCACCCAACACGTTACTCGGCCTTCCCTCTGACAGACAACACTTACTTCACAGCTATTGTTACACATAAATAGCACACATACATACTCTCAACTTTCATCCGAACCCAAGCAATCACCCTTCCCCCACAATCACCCCCTTTCCTCTTTTACCTCACCTTCTCATCTTCTGGAGACGTCGCAGGTGCTCATCACTGTTTTTCCTCCGCTCCCGTTCCCTGCTAAAGCAACAACCCCGCTCTCCGGGCAAACGCTGAATTCAAATGTGCTCCGAGATAGATAAAAGGCATGTTTGCAGACAAGAGGAAATAGTATGACAGCAAAATTGTTGTGTAGAGGGAACTAGGGAGCTACAACTATGTATGAAAATTCACAAAAATTTATGTGAAGGAAAGGCACGTGGTAAACTTTTTTCGGAGTTAGGTGGCTTTTCAGCCACCTGGAGTGCCACCTGAGGTGGCTCAGGGAAAACAATGCCATAAATTTTCTTCTCTTTACACCACACGCCTGAAACGGTTGTATTCGCCATGGAGCGCGTGTGATTAGAGCAGATTTCATCAAGTGACTTCAGTTTGATATCTTCGAGAAATAAGTTCCGGACCAAACTTTGCTCACATACATACATTTCGGAGCGGTGCGGATATGTCAGTCTACTTGTTGTTATCGATCGATAATGACAATATTGATTTTTTGCAAGGTTCGAGATACGGGTGGGAGTTGGTTTAGATGAGTTTGCTGATTACGAGAACATAATGGGGAAGGGATTTTAGCATACCGAAGTGAGACAGGGACAGGGGAATCTTGTATAAAAGTATATGCTAAACATTACTGTAACGTATCGATGGAAAGGGCAGCTAGGCATCGGTCAGAGATGCCAAGAAACAACACTTTTTTCTAGGAAGGGTTAGACCCAATGAAAATTTTACATGACTTCTGGATCGAAAGTGACGCAAAAGTTCGATGGATAGCGGAGCACAAAAAAGGTTTCGATACAGGTTGAAAGTCTATGGCGCAAAAAGACTGCAATGAGACATAAGTCAGTGAACAAGCCAGCGTACTTGAAAGCAACTGTGGATTACATGACAACATGCTCAAGAACAAGAGTGCAATTAGTAGAACTACTTTCTGTACTGCTACACTATCCTATCCACAACTATCTTACAACCTTATTTTTGACCAAATATTTAAAGATTATTGTCTTGGTACCTTAACGATCACATCTTATGTATCACTTCCGCATAATCACTTTCCTTCCTCTTCTTCACTTTCGCCAGTTGTTGCAAACTATGAAAGGGATGTTCGATTATGTTTTACAGTCCATATACTATTACATACACTTGGTTCATCATCATTACAACAGCTATTTCCCGTATTTGTAGTCACAACATGCATCTAGCGTCAATATATTAGGTTGTTCCGAAAGTAATGTCGCTTTTTTCAAATGAACGCCATATTTCATGGAATCAAGATTTTCAAGGGATCTTACGAGCATTCGATGCAGCAATTCATCCTCTTTCTAATATGTGACATTGCATCATATTCAATCAGCTCTCGAAAAATTACCAAAAGCTACGACTCATGCTTTTTGCCATGGTCAAGTTCTGCCATTTTTCTAAATTTTTGTACTTATTCTCCGAAGATGTACAAGTGACAGGTAGATAAAGCAAACCCTATAGGACACAGCATCATTTTTTCTTCTCCTTAGCCTGCTTCTTAGAGTTTCTGGAATCAATTTTTCAATGCTATTAAATTGCATGTTTGGTCAACTCAAACCACACAGAACAACAACCGGCAAGCAACTCGGGTGTCGTTTGACGCAGCTTTTTCTCCCCTTTCTATTAGTTGTTTTTGGTTTTCGATTCATAAAGTTTTTTAAGAATAAATCATCGTAATTCAGGCTTTCCAAGGCGCCCCAGGCTGTACCCAAAGTTTTCGAAAGTTGTTAATCTGAAGCGGTAAACGCTCATTTGCTTTGTAAAATTAGTGTCAAACCATAATCCATCTTTGTAAGTTTCAAAATCCGAAGATTTATAAGTGTTTGTTGCATTTTTGTCTGAGATGAGCCTGCTAAAATTCGGTGGTTTCATCAAAAAATCTATTCAACAATTATGACGAGCTCTGAAAAGTAGAAAAAAACCGTGCTATTTCCTGTAGGGCTTGCTCCATCCATCCATTACTTGGACTCCTTCCAAGGGTTGTTATAAAGATTTAGAAAAATTCTGAAACTTGGCCTTCTCAAAAAGCATAGGTCACAGATTTTGATAATTTTTCGAGAGGTTATTGAATTTTGTGCAGTGGTTATAAAACCGTTAGAAAGAGAATAAAATGCTGCATCAAATGCTTCCAGAATCTCTCACATATCTTTGTTCCACGAGATGTGGCGTAGGTTTGAAGAAAGCGACATTACTTTCGGAACGACCTAATATATAACTGAGAGGATTTGCCACTGCGGAAATCATCGCAAATAAGTATATGTGCACTTAATCGGATGGGCACATGGGTAGACAGGAAAGCAATATTCTTTTGGATCGTTCTTATCCTCAAACGCTGTCGCTTCCAGTGCAAGTGATCCAAAAAACGAAGTTCCATGCCAATAACACACCCCCGCTCGATCCGCGCTCCACGTCGAATCCAGCCTTTTCAGCGACGTATTCGAAACGCGCAACATTTACTTTCAATACTTTCGCCCCAGTTCATCGCTTTAGCCTTAGAGCGCGGTAGACATCACGGACTTAGCTATTCGCTATCCGCTATCACGCTTCATGCCTCCCATTGGCATATGTCACCTTACAAACTGATCGTGTGTGGTGGCGAGTCTATAGTGATTTCGTAAGAACAGATGGTTCCAGTCGAACAACATCTTCTAGGTAAAGAGTTTGAGCGTTATACTACATTGCTGTTCTCTTCTTTTGTAGATGTCGAAAGCTGCTCGCAACTACGCGTTCAAGTCATGAACTGCTACGATATGCCCACTGGTTGTTGATGATTTAATTGTTTTTCCTTGATTTGTAATCAATTTTAATTAAAGTGAGGGATAAACCTCAAACTTACAACTTACGGTTTAATTACCCAAGTTTGAGGTTTATCCCTCACTTCCATCTACTCGGAAATAATGGAAAGTCAAGGAGATGCAGCTGCTGCAAACGCAGGAGGTAGACGAGGACCAAGACCATCGAACAAGCGTTTACAGCAGACACGGGCACAAGTCGATGGAGTCGTAGGAATAATGAAAGTGAACGTTAAGAAAGTTCTCGAACGTGATCAGAAGCTATCGCAACTTGACGATCGTGCCGATGCTTTACAGGAAGGAGCTTCGCAATTCGAAAAGTCGGCTGCGATGCTGAAGAGGAAATACTGGTGGAAGAACATCAAGATGATGATCATCATGTGCGCAATCACTGTGATTCTGATCATCATCAATGTGCTCTGGGCTGGCGGAAAGTGAAAGTATCGATGTCAAAGAGGTTTGCTGCCAGTGGGCCGCATCTATAAATCTGCACACTCGTAAATCATCACTTCCCCCCAAAAGCCTCAGTTTCGCCGACCGAATTGAATCTTTTATTGGTTGTGTTCATCGCTTATCTTCCTGTAGGCAAATATGAGTTTATGATGTATACATTATCAGGTAGTCTTTGTCTAAATACTATTTTTTTCTAAATTTCATACTGAAAAAAAGAACCATTTCCTCATGTGTATTGAATTGTGAAGAGAGCTACTTGCTGCTTATTTTTTTTACTGAACTGTGAGCGAATGCTCTCCAAGTCGAATACCGTCTGACATGAATACCAGATTTACATAATGTTTTATCGAACCATGTCACCACATAAGTATCATAGTGCCTGCATTATGTCTATGTTAAGATAATGTGCTATGTTATAACTGTTTTTACACAGTGGTAGTCGGTAGTTGTGACGGTGCACTTGTTCAATTTTAATATCACCCTCCATTTTAATGTAGCTAACAACCGTTTAGAGGCTCAGGTTGAACCTCGCTACAATGTGCTGTCTGTCTTTTTCGAAATCCTCTACTTCTAGTGAGGGATTAAAAACACAGTTTATCTCACTATCTATGACAAATGCTGGACTAGCTAGAGTAGCTTTGTCACGTCTGTTTCACTAAGCATGTATATCCGTACTTCTTTTTCTTTCGCATTCCCCGACCGGGCATGAAAGCGGAGTAATAGTCACACATTATGCGTCATCAGCTAGAGTTGTCAGACATTCGCTAATCTCGTGTTTTTGCCATGAGGTCAGTACCGGTTATTTCTCTTTGCTCGGTGTGTGGTTTCTTTCGGTAATGGAATTAAAGAAGTACTACTATATCTATTGTCAAGTTTCAGTATGTCAAAAGGAAAAATTTAACTCAAATGTCTCAAATCACATGAAAATCACATTCTGCATATAAAACGTTCTACATATATTCACCTCATTTCGATCACTGAGTTTAAAGCAGAGAAGTGGCCTAATTATATTTGTATGTATTGATTTCTCCTGACTATTATCAGGGCATGAACTTCAGCAATATGTATGCGTCCCTCGTCCCCAGTATGATCATAAATGAAGACCACTGGAGGCCATATCTTTTTGACTACATTGTCAGTAGCTTCCCAATTTTTGCTTTTTCATAGGTTTTGATCACTCATATCTTCAAATCCCTGGAGTATGTACCTTCAGTTCTTATCATATTCCCACTTCCGCATCTGAAAACCATCAGTTTGTAATGATCTTAAAATGATTCTACGACTTGCTTCTGTAAGAACGAGGTCTGTGTCCTAACAGCTAGTTTTTTGCTTGAAAATTGGTAAAAATCGGTAGACTCAAGCAACAGCAGCTAACTGCAGCTCTAAGCAGCTGAACATCACTCTGCTGCAATCGCTATGCAATAAGTGCGATGCTGCTACCTCTATGTAAAGACATCCGGCGCCAGTATTCCAAGCCATAGGGACCTGGCGCCAGTATGTTTCAAACCATAGCGTCAGGTTCGTGATGTCTGCCGCGCTCTGAGGTTAAAGGGATAACCTGGGGCGAAAGTATTGAAAGTGCGTTCCGAATATGTCATTTTCAACGCCGTGTAATTACCGTACGCCATGTTTAGGGGATGTCGTATAGTTGCTGCGGAGTCAATAGGGACTTCGTTTGCAAAAAACACTAAAATCCACCTCGAATTAAGCCCTAGTCAAGGCAAGAGAATTTTCAAAGAACATTAATTACACTTTTACAATGTATGTAGAAGTGCAGGTGTACCCCCGTGCCGTCAGTGCTTCCTCGTGCCGTCAGTATACCCCATGCCGTCGCCGAGAGCGGTCGTTTTTGATATCTGCTTTGCTGTAAATTTCAAATCTGTGTTTTTTCTCTTTTTGGGTTCGTCCAAACTTTAGTTGCTCTCTTTAGTTTTCTTGCTGTTGCATCCTATTTCATCTATCTTCACTCTACGTAGTCTTTTGGATTGTCCTGCCAAATCTATTGGTCATATCCAAATTCCGCTTATCATTTCAAAAACATCTTCAATGCCTTCCCGCGCAAAAGTCTTGCTCTCAATCGACTTCTGATCGCGTCTTTAGGAAAAAGAATGTGAATAATGTCTCAAATAGTCAGACAAAAGAGGGTTCAATACCCGATATTCACTATGAAAATCTCTCTATGGGCGAGCTTATCCAGACTATTCTGGAAAAAAAACTAAGACCGATCAAAGACTAGAGAGACTGGTCTTGGTTTTGCAAAAAAATTGCTCAAGAACGCCGAAACAGAGAAACACAAGAGAGCGTCGTAATCGCGGGGCTTGCTGAAGCTCCATTCGAGCTTTCAGTGCTGGAGCGTAAGAAGCAATTAGATGAGAGCGTAGCGCAAGTTTTGGAAACATTGCGAACAAATGCCTGGCCTTGGAGATATACCATGGGGCAAAAAGGCTGAAGGGAAGCCACGTTTTGTTAAGATCCTACCCCCTTGCGCTACTATTGTAGGCAAGCTCTATCAAATGCTTACCTATTGCGGCATTCATCTCTTTCTCATGTTTTTATCCGCAGAAGTATGACTTCCAGAGAGCGGGACTTAGAGCTACAAAGGCAATCTAGAGAAAGAAATGAAGAAAATCAACAAGAGAGTGGGTTGTATACCGCGGGGAAATCAAGCACATCTCTGAACTGCCCTAAAGGCCTGTTTAAGGGAACGCCTAACTCGGCTTGGTTTTGTTGATACTATAACATGTGTTTTGTTTAACTTACGAAGCCTGGTCAACAAGATATATTCTTCACGCCTTTTTACGCTTCTACCGTCCCGATGTTGTTTGCGTTACTAGCCAAACTTGGTTATCCTCGAAAAAAAAACGACTCAGAAATATTGATCGATTTGCCATACTCGATTCATCGATCGGATCGAAATGGGAAAAAAGGTGGTGAGGCCTGCTGCATAGTTGAAAATGATTTCGCACTACAACGACTCACTTTGATCAACATTTAAGAGCAGACATGCTTTGCTTAGACCTTTTTTTCAATCACTTTTGAAATTTATAACGATATAACGACCACCATCAAAGACCTGGAAAAGCGATGAATCCTATCCTTACAAGTACGATTACTGTTACGATCTCTATTCAGGTCCTATCGAAGCAATCGTATTGGGTGACTCTGATGTGGATGCAATTTTTCCAGGTAGAAACCCACAAGATACGCATTTCCCTAGTCTCTTGCTTAGCTCAGGACTTGTACAAAATGTGAAGGTTCCTACTCGAATTAATGCTGCTATTCATCTTATGCTTTCCTCGAGTGACATTGTCAGCAACAGTCACATACTCCTTCCCTTTGAATAATCCGATCATAATGTTGTCGCTTTTCACGCCCGTTTTTCAATAACCAAAAAATGCATTCTGCCATTTGCCCTGACTTTTATGGAGCAATTTATCTGAAAATAAATAGAGCGCTTTCATGTGTAAACTGAATGAATATTTTTCATTTTTTTTCATTAATTAATGACTTATACCGCTTCTGCACTATTTGTATGATATCTTCGCCCAATATGTACCTTTTACCTCAAAAAGCTTTACTTCACGCCTATCCCGCTCATATTCGCAATCTTATTGATCAGAACACGTGGCTTTTTACTTCATTGTCTAATCCAGTAAGCGACGATTTGTGTAAGAAAGTTTGCCTTGATTTGAATTATCGCCTCAAGATTCTTGTGCATTAAGAAATTCTTCTGGCCAGACGTTCTAGCAAGCATGATTCGCCACTTCAAATGTCGTACTAAAAGAGACTCTTGTCTGCCAGTCTTGTTGGATGATGCCGGAGATCAGTATACAGGGTGCGGAAAAGTACTGTCCCTCAAAATATATTAGGTTGTCCCGAAAATTTTGTCCGTTTTTTCAACCTATCATAAAAATACGTGGAACAAGGATAGGGAAACCCTTTAAGCACTGTCCGACGCATCGTTTCCTCCTCTTTCCAATTGTCAGGCTTCCATGCCTTTTGTTCACTGAGATAAACGTCGAAATTTTGAACCTATGGTTTTTACTATGTCCAAGTTTGGCAATTTTTCACAATCTTCATTTTCAACTTTTGGAAGACCTTTGATAGCCCTCAGATAGAGTAAGCAAAGGGCAATGCAATGCAGTTATTTGGCATATCTAGCTGGCTCTTCAATATTTTTAAAGAAAATTTTTTCAAAAGTCTTCACTTTTGCGAAGTTCTCAAATACAGAAACGCCTCGAACACTAGCAAATCGTCGGATTTTGAAGCTTTCAAAAACCGATTACGATTATTCACTACTTTTACAAAGCGAATGAGCGTTTACCGCTTCGAAATATAAGATTTTGCATTTTACTTGTACACGCTGGGGTGGGGTCAAATTCAAGAATTATGAAAATTTTATCGCCAAAGACCCCGCAAATTGGAGAGAAAATACACTCACTGGAAAGAGGAGGAAAAGCTGCATCGAATAACACCTTAGTTGTGCGCCGTTTCATGACCTCTGGCTTTTGGCATCACCAAAAGTTGAATTTGATAGCATCAAAGAAATAATTCTAAAAGATTTTCAAGGCTGGCTATAGATGCCGCAAAATTGCATTATATTGCCCTTTGTTTGCACTATCTAATTGTCGCCAAAGCTTTTCCGAAAGTGAAAAATAAAGATTGTAAAAAATTGTCAAACTTGGACATAATAAAAACCGTGGGTTCGAAATCTCGGCGTTTATCTCACTGAGCTAAAGATTAATCGGCATGGAAGCTTGACAGCTAGAAAGAGGAGGAAAAGATGCGTCGGACAGTGCTTAGAGCGTTTCCCTATCTTCGTTCCACGCGTTTTTATGATAGGTTGAAAAAATGAACAAAACTTTCGGGACAACCTAATAGTTTGAAAAATTGGCGTAATTCACAGGTTTTTCTGGTAAATTTGACATAATTCCCAAGATGGGGATATATTCTATCATTTTACAAAAACTGGCTTCAAAATTCCA